TTTGAGAAGGGAAACAGTGAAGCCCTTGATGAAGTTACTACCACTGATGTGACTGTTACCAATGATAGGACGTTTCCTGATGTCGCAGATGAACCCCACATGAAGCAGAAGCCAACGAGACGGAGACCAGTACAGAAGAAGATACGTCCCGTAAAATTAAGATACTTTGTTGAATTGTAATTTTGTGTTTGTAAATTCTGTACATTTAATTAAGTTATTTAATGTAAGTGGCTATTGTTCAGGACGAACAATACTAAGGAAAGGTCAGTGACGCTAGTAACACGTCATATTCTCGAACGTTCACGTCCCTTCCTGAAGTCTCGAGAGGCTACTAGATATGCAGTAGTCTTGTATATATAAGCCGCCAAGAAGTGACGGCAACAATATGTAATTGACAGTTGAGTCGAGCACGTGAGACGTTCGTTGTGAATTATAACGTTTGTTACAGCGTGACTGTGGAAATTAAGTATTGCAAAGTTGTATTCAGAATAAATAAACCAGTTTTATTTACGAAAGGACTTGTGTCGCTAAAGTTTCATCGGAAAGAAATTATAAGGGAAATGAACTAACGAACCAGAGACGTAACAATATGGATTTTTGTGTGTTACTAGTATTTGTTGTTTTTTCATTATGGTTGATTGTTTTCGTATTTGTACTTACTTTTTTCTTCTTTCCTTGTTGTCATATTTCCTACATGAACGATGTTTGCTTTAATTGCTGTTGCATATGTTTTCGGGTTACTCTCTTGTGTATGTTGTTGGGGTTGTTTGTGACTTGTGGTTGTTGGTTAGTTTGCTTATGTTTGAATGTACTGTATATTATTTCTGATGCTATAGATTTGTGTTTTAATTTGTTTGTATTTCGGACAGCATTTATAGTTAGCTGTGTGCAATTCATTACGGAGTAGAGATATTGCTGTGGTTTTAGTTTTCCGCTATTTTCTGAATCACATCATTTAACTTCCGGTTTGTACTAGGGTTTGAATAAACGCTTAAGTCTGCATTAGAAAAGTATTTCATAATTAAAATATTTTTTAGATATTTCTTACTTCTTGATGTAAAATATAGTTTTCCGTAGAAGCAAAATTCCAGATTATTATTAAATGTCATTCATTAAATGTACCAAATTCAGACAGTAGAAATCTTGACCACATCTCTACTGTGAAATAGGCTGCTTTGAACAAGAATTGACGCAACTACTTTGCTGTTTCTGCCAAGTTTCTCGACTCGTTGCTACACCTCCTCACTTCAGATCCACTTCACAGTGGCGGAACAAGCAGTTCAGAATCCCCGATGCAAAGAAATGATCGGGACCCTTTTTTCAGAAGATATGACCAGACTAGGCCCCAGGCGTCGCGGGGCATTGCCCCGGGCTAGTTCCGCCTCTGCCACTTCCCCTGTCTTACAACAATTTTCTTGGAGAAGGAACGCTACTGAAAATCCTCGTAGAGATTTTGCTCATTTTTGCAAATTTGTGCATGTTTTCAAGAGAAAAAAGACGGAGGAATGCAGTCTCCTTAAAATAACCTGCAAAACTTTTAAAGTACGACGTTCAAAGTGCATTACAAGAGCTTCAAAAAAGAAAGCCCATTATGGACTGAGAGTTCACTTTTACTTGTAGACTTTCACCGGATCTGTTGGGCTTTCACGAAGGGTAGAGCTGGGAATGCAATTTGCCACTTGAAAAATTAGTCAAATTGCACGTCTACTTAATTGTAAGAAATAATTATTTCTTTGGACTTGTAATCAATGCGTCTATGAATACAACGGAACAGTACTTGGCTAGAGTGACTTGTAGGTACACTAACATGCCAGCATCCTTATATTCAGTCACGCTGTTAAGTGGGATCCCATCTATATTAAACGTGTGATACAAATTATGATAATCCAAATGCATCATTTTGCACCTATAATCAAAGATAATTTACCAAATATTCGTTCAACTTACAAACTGATCAATTATATATTTCTAATATCTCAATATCCTCAAATAGTTAGAAATAATCAAATTTAATTAAATCCAGAAACTTTACTAATTACCGGACTCTATTAATAACAGTTTTTTGCATGTTCTCATCCAGTCATCTTATAATCTAATTTAAGTCTTTAAGTAGGTTGCTACACAGATGTGATTTTGTTGATTAATTTTCTGTGGCACCTAATTAAACGTTTTATGAATATCTAATTAAGTACACCAAGTCTACTATACCCTTTCTGTTATTCACATAACACGTAATGTCTTTGAAAAAATAAGATTAAATAGTATATTTATGTGTTCAATAGAGGGCAGTTTAGAATTTAGATATAGTGAAGGAACTATATACAAAGTATACATCAAATTCATGTAACATAAGTCTTAACGTGTGATTTAAATTATTTATACGAAATGGATTTTTGTGAGTTTGATGACGAATTGTTCGAAAAACCCCGGGACAAGGTCTTGAGAACTTATACTAATTACACTCCAAAAATGTGTATTTCTCAGGTATGAAATGCTTACCGCATTATGATATATATGAAACAAACTATACGAAACATCAAACTAGTTACTCTAGGCCAAGCGAAATTTCTTAACGAGCGACATCTTTCGGTTGCATAAAAATGATCCAATGATGATTTATGAATAAATATATTAAAACACAATAGTTATTTTGCCGTTCAGTGCTGTAAACTTGCATGGAACTTTGCATGGTCATACTCATAGCTAGTTATGAGGTCACTGATGTTCGGATTTCGGTCAATATTTGAAATTAAATGTAACGTTCTATTTAATATTACCCTGAAATACTGCGGAATGACCCATATGGAAAATGTATATAATATGTAAGGCTGACCCTATGTGCTTGAACCTTGGGTAAATTTTCACTCTATCTACGGCCTTACTTCGAAGCATAATAATGTCTACAGTTTATGTTTACTATATCAGCGTAATTATTAAGGGATAAAAAGGAGATCAACACTACTAAAAGAAAATTGATTATCAGCTTTATTACGTTATTTCATGCAACCGATAGATATTGTTTGACGATCTAGGTCACATTCAAACTTTGAGTTAAAGTACTGCAGTGTTACATCTTGTACAGAAATTTCGCTCTAATATTCAGGCTATAGTAGAACGGTAAAACGATTACCTAGAGCAGTGTGTGAGGTATAATTATAACAAACTTGCTCCATCTGGATGTTTAAAATTCATAATACTCAATTGAATAGGGGCCTTACTAACTGATTATTCCTGTATAACATACCTTAAGTAAGCCTGAGGCTTTATAATTATAGTTATACTCTTGCGCAATGTAACCAAAGAGATGTAATTGTTATTACTCCCATAACTTAGGAAAGTATTTCGTTTATTGTTATTATTAATAGTCGTGGAAGTAATCACACAGAAGGCCGTTGTGTATGCCATCCAACAGTTGACTGTGTTATAATTTATATACACAATTGTATTTCATATGTAGGGCTTTATCTATATGCCCCAGAGTTTTTTTTAAACAATCGATTCAGTGGCATAAGTTACATTTTCATTATAGGAATGGTGTGTTAATGAATTACAGTTTATATATACACAACCATTGGTAGTATCTTTCATTGTCATAACTTTTTCTGTTTTTGTATATCTATATATATTCTTCCTGTTGAGAGAGCCATTAATAATGATTAGAGTAGAGGGGTTATTAAACTAAGGAATAGTACAAAACTTGTAGCAAAGTAAAACATAACATCAGAGGGCAATAAGGGGCCTGTTTCTGTCCCCAGAGCTACCAACACTCACCTGTATTAGTAAAAAATAAATTCATGTTTTGGTCAGTAGCAGCTTTTATAGTGTATTGTGGTTGGTTGACCAGCAGACACATTGCTAATGCTCAAACTTTCAATAATAAGTAAATGAGCCTCACTTGTTTGTTAACCTTTGGCTAATCAACATCCTTTCCCTTATTTGTATTTGTTTGTGAACTGTTAAATTAACCACCTAGTAGTGGAAACAGTATGAATACTTTGGACATTTATATTCTGAATTCTAATCAGAATATCCTATTTCCCAGTTTATGGGAAGACTAAATACATTTTCTGTTTTTCTATATTCCAATTAGATTGTCTAATGGCACTTCTTTGTAAAAATTCCTGAATATTGCTACCACTTTGGGAAAAAATGCATGTTTACTGGTTAACTTGCATGCCTGATGGACCAGTATTTTAACCAGATGTTTTGTAAAAGATAATGGTATGTAACCACCAATGTTAAAATATAGAATAGTGAAAGTATTTTTTAATGGAAAATTTCACATTCATATCTACCATCTTTATTATGAATAAAGAGATCTAAGGATGGAAGTTGGTGGTTGTGATGCTGTTCTTCAATGAATTTAACATTCAGATGTCTACTGTTAAGGTAGTTTAAAAAAATTACATGTTCAGCTTCTTTAAAGATAATAAAGGCATCATCTGCATATCTTTTGTAATATACTTACTTAAAATGAGAAGGAAGGACATTCCTCAAGCCAAGATATTTCATAGTAACAAACAAATTAGCGAGGGATGGAGCTAATATAGATCCCATAGCAACATCATCAGCTTGGCCATAAATATCACTGTTAAGAGAGAAAATGGGATTTTTTGGTATTAAAATTTGTAAGCACATGCTTTGGAAATCTTATTTTCATTTTGATACAAAAGTTCAGTACATAAATTTATGGTGTCATCTAGCAGTATGTTGATATATAGGGACAGTATTAAAACAGTAAACTCCTTTATTAAAGTAAACTTTTTTTATTTCTTGACAAAATTCTAAACTGTTTTTTTATAGAATATTAATTGCTAATTAGTAGTTCAAAAATTAACTATAAACCCCACTAGTTCATGATTGTATGTGCTTGAGCCAAACACTATCAGTTCAACAAGACATCCATCTTTATAGACTTTAGGTTTGTTTTAGGTATTATGATTGGTAAATTTGTTAGTAATGATCAGTTTCTGATCATAGTTTCAAACTCTTTAGTTATTTAACAATATTCCTAACTCTTAAATTTTTTTTTTAGTTTGAATACTCAAGTAGTGGTGCATTCTGTCATAGTTAGTCATAGATTTTGAAGTACAGTAAATTGAGTAATGCATTAATGTAGAGCTACTATTCAATTTGCACATAATTTTTAGCCATATGTTATGTAAGTATAGAACATTTGGTGTGAACAAAGTTAGTAAATTTATGGATTTTGGAATTAATAATACTGATAGTTGATTTTTAAATTATGTGTAGGTAATAAGGTCAACATGTGCCCTGAGTTGCTATGCTTTCCAATCATACAGTTGCATAGGAGAATTTGTTATATCAGAGTGAATATCAGTTTGTTGCTCTGTGAAAAATAAATTAAGCCACTAATCCAAGCTTAGATTTAGGGTTTTATGAACCTTTTTTAAAGGTTTTTTAAAGACACTTGATTAGATGAAAAAAAAACTAATAGCAGTTTTTAGGAACTGTGAACATTGTTTTTCTATAATGTGTAGGAGACTGACAAAACAGAGACAACAAACTTGCAAAACATAAACATTATTTTGGCTGTCAATTCAATCATAAAAGGGTTGAAAGTTCTTTGCTACTAATTAGTTAGTTATTTACAGTAGATAATAATATCTTATTCTTTTTAAACAGTTTAATGTCTAATAATCAATTACAAATTGTTAAACTGATTGATTGGCCTACATGATACGCAGAAAAGTAATGTACTTATTATAAGGTTAAAATGTACTTATGTTAAACAAATCATTAACATGTTACAATTTCACCCTATTCTGTGTATTTCAAAATATACTGAATGCATCAAAACAATGAAAGTTATTGGAAAGTTGTTGTTGGAACTATATATATATATATCAGGTTGGGCATATTGATCCCTAAATAATGATATTAAGGATACTGATTATTTTGTGTTTCATACTTTTTCAGTTTATTTGTAATTACTCAGTCTAAGATGCCAGCTAACATGAGTGAGGACCATTGAGTAGCCATCATGGAGTGGTGGTATAAACATGAGGATTGTGCAATGATTGTTTTATTTTTTATGCTATGCTAAGTATAATGTGAATGAGGGGTTTACTATGGTCCATCTTGTATAATATGACACAGACTCTCTGCAACATTTAAATTTTCTATGATTTTCTTCTGTAGGCCTACAAATCATCCACACTACTTACATCTATAAAAATGTATCAAGAGTTCACAGTCAGCATACAATAAAGTCAATATGCTTTATTCTTATAATTTATCTTTAAAATCTATTGATGAGTCCAGTTAATGGCTTCAGTGAAAAGTTTATATACTTTATGTTGGTCATTCAGAATGTAACGAAACATTGCTTTTGAACATATGAAATTCCCTCAATTTATTATTTATAAGCACTCCATTTTAAGAATATTTCATGTTAATTATATTTTCCAGACTAATATTTTATTTTGCAGTACCTTTTCTTGATAAGGAAGTATTTATGTACAAGTGTTTTCCAAAATCTTAATTCCTACATTCTTAAGATAGTCATAGGTGTGAATCAACATTGATACACCTGCTTTTCAAAACTCATTATTATATTTCAAAATTAGAAAAAATTGTTGTTATCATGAATGATAGGTTATTTAGTCTATGTTTTGACTTGGAACTTCTCCACTAGGTGTAGTGGAGAACATGTTCCCCACAACAACACTGCTCACTAAAACATGGAAGTAATGCCTTATGAACTGAATGATGGATGGAAGTTCTTCATTTCGCTTTTTTTAAAAAATGACTAGATCAAATACATCACCAACAAATTTGGCGTTGTTGTATCATTTCATTTGTCTAACACTAAATCTTATTTGTAATCTCCAATTTCAGTCACATTTGCAGGTAACTTCTGCTTTATTTTTCTGAATCTTAGTAGAATCACAGTAGCTCTTTACACAGACTGCACTGCTGAGACAAGTTCTGGAAACTGTAGTAGGTTCTGTGGCCCCACCTCAATGATATTAGTTGCTGTAACTGTATTGTTATTGACAGCAGATGCAATTTGTATGCCATTACTCTGACAGATTACAAATATAGCACTCTTGAGCAATGTGCTCATTAGCGTATGAAAATTGCTAAGTTTTACTCTTCTGCAACTACAAAATAATATATCATTATTCAGGTATATCAAGGAACACTCTTCAGAAATTTTAATGGTTGCTTGTGTGGACAAGTTGATGAAATCCCATACAAAGGCATTCTTGGATATGTCACCCACTGAGCAAACCTATACAGCTTCACTTGTGCCTCAGGATTCTTTTATCTTTGATGTTGTTTCTCTAGCAACATAATTTGAAGTGATTACACTGAATCATATGCAGGAGTTAAGGAAGAAGTGGCATGTTTGGGTGATTGCTCCTGAATGGTTTGAAGTGACCACAAAGACTCGATAAAAATGTTGACTAGTGACTCCATTGCCATATACACTGCAAGGTTTTTGGATACAGATTCATGGTTCTTTACAGGAAAACAGGACTTCTGAGGCCCAGATGCTATAGTTCCATCGACTGTGCACCAACAGAAGTCCTTTAGATGTTACCTTATACCTGTGGGATGGAGTATATTTTTCAAGTATGACTTAGTGGGTCACTAGATATGGAATTATCTGTATCCTGTTGAGGTGGGAATAGTCATTAGATATGGTATTGTGCATATCCAATTTAGAGATGGGAATAGCAGACATAAGATTAATTCCAGCTGATACAGTAGTACAAATACAGGAGGGTTAACAGCAAGCAATGGCTGCAGTAGCCCAGTCAGTTTAAAACTGGTGAGGCAGAGTGAAGTCTGGCCACTAGCTTACACAGATGCAACAGTTTCCTTGCAACAGAATACATGAAATAACTTTATAGTCACCCTGTATGTTAAGCTGTAGGTTTGGAAGTTATAAGCAACAGAATGCATGAAGTAACTTTATAGTCACCCTGTATGTTAAGCTGTAGGTTTGGAAGTTATAAGCAACAGAATGCATGAAGTAACTTTATAGTCACCCTGTATGTTAAGCTGTAGGTTTGGAAGTTATAAGCAACAGAATGCATGAAGTAACTTTATAGTCACCCTGTATGTTAAGCTGTAGGTTTGGAAGTTATAAGCAACAGAATACATGAAGTAATTTTATAGTCACCCTGTATGTTAAGCTGTAGGTTTGGAAGTTATAAGCAACAGAATGCATGAAGTAACTTTATATTCACCCTGTATGTTAAGCTGTAGGTACTGATAATTTGTATTTTTATGAATAAAAACAGTTGCAATTATTGAGCATTTTTATTAACAATTTACCATCAAGGCAAAGTCAGCAATTTGTGAAAATAAAATTTGATATAATGTTGCCATCAAATGAAAAAATATCTCTTATGATGCATGTAACTTCTGAAGATGTATATACAGTGTTACTAAAATTATACTGAAAGGTTAAATGTTTGTGTAAAGTAATGTTGAATGTATCTGTGGTTAAAATAACTTAATATATTTGTTGCTATGGCTTCATTTTGTAGTGGTTTGTGGAAGATGCAGTTCTTAAGGAAGCTGATGAAGAGGAATGTCTGGTATTACAAAAACATCAGGCAGATCTTCTGTTTTTCCAGAACTGTTACAGTGAAGCAGCAGAAGCTTATAGAAAATGTTTGGATTTGGTTCAAGCTGATAACTTAACACTGTACCGTGACTGTGTGGAAGGCTTGGCTCGTTGTTTGATTTCTCTAAAACAGTTTAATGAAGCCACACTTCTTGCCAAAAAACTAGTATGTATTATGTAAAGTTATTTTTAACTTCCGTTTATGTAATGTTGTGTAAATTTTTAATCTTTTGTGTGTAAAGTTATTTTTCCACTTCTCATCTTTTTGAAATATGTAAACCACCAATACTTCCCAATTTCTCATATTTTTGTGTGTTCTGGTATTTTTAGGCTCAACCTTTTTTATGTATAAAGTAAAATTATTTCTAAACTTATAATCTTACTGTGTATGTTATGAAAGCTAATTCTAAACTTCCATTTTTGTGAACTTATGATAATTTTGATTGTTATATAAAGCTACTTCTCAATTTCCCATCTTTTTCGATGTTATGCAAAATTATTTCCCAAACTGTTATCTTTTAATTTTCATTATACAATGTTATTTCCCAACTTCCACACTTTATATGTATTTCATATTACAGTAGTCAGCAAAAGCAGTTGTTACCTGCATTTTATCTTTATTGTCAGTATTCATTTTTGTCTAAACTTCAATGCAGTGATGTGTTACCAATACCATTTTTGAAGTGTGAAAAGTCAATCATGTATGATTTACATTTGTAAGTAAATGGTTATGTTTAATGAGTATGATGAAATATATAGGCACGGATGTCGATGTCACATAAACCAGATGTTCAATATGAGTTAGCCTTGAGAACTAGCTAGTCATAACCTAGAGTTGTTGGTGTCAGGTTTAGTTTGTGCCAAAGAGATTTGTACAGTACATAAAAGACTTAAGTATGATAGCAGTTATAAGAAATTGTAACTAATCTTGGTAAAGATAAAATTAGAAATTAAAATAAAATTAAAATAATGGAAGAAGGTGGTGGGAAATAGAGAAAATTGTAGAAGTCATTCCTTCAGCCTAACGTATATCTTGTCCATTTGTATTTGTTTTTCAACATGTATCTAAGGCCATACCTTCTCCTCTTTGACTTCATTTGATGGAGCTTTCAGTTCTCCATGTTCTTAGTACTCCCTCTATTACAACTTGCAAGGTCCTATCACTTTTGGGGTTGTGGTCTTCCATGGCTGCTCTTATCCTCTTAGGTTGTGCACATATGTGGGGTTTTTAGTGGGCTCTTTAAAACCAGTGGAATCTTGCATGGGATCCTTTGATGGCTCCTATTTCCCCTTTCTCCTGCCCTTATTGATGATCTGCATTGATAGTTGGGCAAGACTCGTATGTCGGCAGGTTTCCCGCTTTTCATCCTCATCCAGATTTACACATTTTCACATTGGCTTGCGACCAAGAGGTCTTATCATATCAACATCCTGGAGCTTTTTCCTGAACGTCGTGCTTTGGTTCATTTTCTCCAACTGGTATCTGGTAATGATACATTCCGACAATTCTACAGTGATTGCTTATCTCAATCACCAGGGTGGCACCACTCTTGATCTCTATGTTTTCATACTTTGGATCTTCATTTTTGGGCCCACACACTAGATATTCATATCATTGCATGTCATATTCCAGGTGCTTTCAATTTTGTTGCAGATCACCTTTCCCATACAGACAAAGTCTATCTGAAGGAGTAGTCTCTCAATACTCTTGTTTTCCAGTGGCTTTGCCTTTGGTGGGGCACTCCTCACATTGATGCATTTGCCAAATCTCTCAACAACAAATTGCCTGTGTCTTGGTCTCTGGTCCCTCATCCTCTTGCTCTGGCTATAGATGCTTTCAGTCAGGATTGGACCAACAAATACCTGTATGTCTATCCTCCCAATCGACTTTTTAACTGGTTGATTTCGATCATCCATGCCACTCTGTGTCAGGTCCTTCTGATTGCTTCTTACTGGCCAGCTCAACCATGGTTCCTCTGTCTACTCCAGCTTCAAACTACCCCTCCATTACCCTTTCCTCTTACTCTATCTCTTCTTTGTCAAGCTCGATCACCGGTGTTTCATCCAGCCTTTCCTGTCCTCCGCCTTCATGCCTGGTTTTTATCCAGTTCTTGGTGAGGAGATCCAGCCTTGGGCGGTCTTGTCCTACACTTTTTGTTTTTCCCAATACCATAAGGTGTTTACCTCTCTTACTCTTTTCCTTTTGATGCATTCCTTCTGGATTTGTCCTCCAGCTTGGTGGGCTGTCCTTCCAGATTAAGGTGTTAATGTGGTCCTTCTTTGTCTCCTTTGCCATTTAAAATACTCTCCACGTGGTCCTTGTTTCACCTTTCCCTTAAGACTTATTTCCTTCTCCTCTTAGCCTGTGGACGTCAGTGGTCAGATTTATTTGCCATCAATGTTTCACTTACACTTTATCATTCCACTTTATTCCCAAAACTTTTGCAACTCAAGAGGGTAACTCCTCCTTTTCACCAATTTCCCTTCCTTCCTTCCATTTCCCACCTTTATCCTAAACCTGACCTGGATAGACTTCTATGTCCTGTACATCCTCTTTTCTGTTATATTGCCTGCTTGGCTTCCTTCTGTGGTGTCTGTTCCCGACTCTTTATTCGCTGGCAGACATCCTCTGTTTGATATCTTTTTCCATCTATCCTCACCAGTTGGGTTTAGCTTTTAATTCAATTGGCTTATTATTCTTTATCATCTTTCTTTCTTCCTTACTTTGTTTTGGATGTCTTCTCATCAAATATGACAATTTGTTTCATTGGCATCTCATCTTTGTTTTCCCTTGTAGGAAATTCTTCAATCAGGCATGTGGACTACCCCACATACATTCGTATCTCTCTATTTGCATAGGATTGAGGTATCTTCCTCTTCTGGTTATTGTCTTCTGCCTGTAGCCATTCTTCAGACTTCAATGAGACTTTGACTGGGAAAGTTATCTTTTATATCTCTTTTCTTCCTTTTTAGGGGCCTTTTTTTTCCCTTTTCCCTTTTTTATTATCAATCATTGTTTGGATCCTGCTCTGTGGTAAGTGGTGCCTGACCTGATATCCTATAACTGTTCAAATTCACACTGTAAGACCATGTCGACTTACATATTATAATTCCATGGCCACGCAACACACACTGCAGAGATAGGGTGTAGGTTTAACCTCTCAATAGGTTTGCTTCATAAGTTTACCGTTCCTGGACTGTTCTCACCCATGAACTACATGTCTTGTATTGAATAAATTGGTATGGTCTGCTTTTCAAAATAGGGTTTACTCCATCAGTGTTGTGGGTCATGGTGGAGGTACTTGCAGATTATTATGGTTCTTCCCCTTCTGCTATCCCTTGATGCTTATTATTCTGATGATGTTACTGCACTTGGGGTGGTTCCTGACCATTTAAAACTTGAGTGAGATGGTTTACATTATGAAGATATCTTTTCAATTTTGGATGTCATGTTCCTGGATTGATCAATCAATTTCTCACATTATCATGTGCCCTGTTCATGGATTGGAGGGTATGGGATTCCTTCTGGTCTCATGAACTTGAGGTGAAGATCTTTTAATCTTACCCACTTTTATGTTTTCTAGGATTGAGTTTCATAAATATCATATGGTTTGGATTCCTATCCTGCCATAGTTCTCTCCCACTTGGATGTGCTCCTCCGTTTTTCCGCCCATATATGCAACATATTTCCATGATGAGTGAAGAGTATACCTGATTCAGAAAAGGTGTGGTCTCCCACATTAGATCTTTGATTCCAAAGATCTCCTCTTGGGGAGCGTCTTTCAGATGCTCACACCAGTTCCTCCATCTATTCAATGTATGATTCTAGCTATTTATGTGAGAGGAGGTAATATATCGTATTGGAAGTTATAATTGTCCTATACTGAAAATGTATTTCCAATAGGTACTTACCTCTTTTCACGCTTTCCACCCTTCCTCCCCACTGAAAACCAGTGCTTTCATTTTCTGCCAAAACTGGAAGTGATAGTTTGGTAGAATAGAATAGATGCATCAACAGAGTATGTTGCATTCTTATTGATGGAGGGTTATTGCATGATGATTTGCATGCAAGATGCATTGGAATCAGTCAATTCCAAATAGTTGGTAGCTTCAAGGCTTGTGACATATGCAAAATTTTTTTTTTCCTGTAGGGGTCTGCACTGAATGAAAATAGCTATTTATGTGAGAGGAGGTAAGTACCTATTGGATATACATTTTGAGTATCGGAAAATTATAACTTCTGATTCGTATCTGTAACCTCTAGATATCACCTGAAAAATAGGGTGGATCAAAAGAATATGATAAAAACCAAACATCATAATTTTAATTTCTAATAGTTTGCAAAAGTTGTTAATCAATAAAAGAAACAAAGTGTTAAAAGTTTATTGTTTTACTAATGCATCTTGGTCTGCCTAAAGTCTTTTGAATGCTGAATAAGCTCAGTTTAGTGACTGTATGCTAACTGATAGTATATTATGCAGTTCTTTACTAAATAAATGGTTTTATAACAATCAAAAACAAAACCATTTAAATTACCCAGAACTCACCTCAAAGAGGTGTCTGCATTTTGAGTACTACCCTCGCATATATTGTTTCTTGGTGTTGAATTTAGGCATTTATGATCTGGACTCCAGCCTGTTTCGTATGAATCCATGACGTTGTTGACCACACAGGGCAACTGCAGCTTCTGTTACTAGACATACTGCTTCTTCCGATTGTATGGTTTAAAATATGTTAGCATCAGAGACATAATGATAAAAGAGGGTTACACTCGTCTCTCAGCTTCAGTTATGTAAAGATATTTTCTCCAGGAGACAGTAACTCTTTTGTTTTCTTCTAGCTTGATTATGTTGTCATCGCGGTTTTTGAGGATTTTGGTAATCTCCTTAGAAATATTGTCGATTGGAGCTGTGAAATTGGCAAGTTGATGTGAAATAATCACCTACCAGGTAAAGTCCAGCGCCTGTTGTCTATCACAGTGACCTTATCTATTTGATATAATAATTTTATTCTAGTTTTTTCTAGCTTACCGGCTCACCAGTTCTTCTGCATGATGATTCAAGTTAATAAAATTAAAAATAAATAGTAGTGTTACGTCTCTGGTCGTTGGTTAATTTTCCGTAGAAATTCTTTCCAAAAAAAACTTAGCGATACAAGTTCTTTCTT